GCGAGCTTGCTTCGCTCGGCTCGGCTCGGCTCGGCTCGGCTCGTTGACACTACTAGTTTAATCCTGCAAGCATGAAGTTAGATAACATAAAGATATTGAAAGATGAAGTTTACAGTATTTGGTTAAGAATGCAAGGCAAGTTAGATATTTAAAGAATGAAGGAACAAGTGTAAGAGTCATATGCCAAGAGAATTGTCCATGGAAGTTGTATGCTTACTAGCAACCAGACAAAAGTTTCAGAATTAACACATTTAAAGATGAACATACTTGCACAATGGTTTGGAAGAATAGAAGAGTGCATATTGGTTACTTGGCAAAAAGTATATAAGGAAGTCAAATCAAATCCAAAAATGTCTATGAATAGTTTTATAGAAAAAATGAATGAGGAGTGCATATATGAGATCTCTAAGCATCAATTTTATAGAATAAGAGTTAAATGTGCAGACGTTGTTAATGGAATTGTGGCTGAATAGTACAAGATTCTGTGGGACTATGGTAAGAAGTTGAAAAGAACTAATCCTGATAGTACAATGGGCAGGGTCATACATTCAAAAGACTATACATATGTTTAGGGGCTTGCAAAGAAGTTCTTAGAGCTGGGTGTAGAAATGTAATTGGTTTGGATGGATATTTCCTAAAGAGTGCACAACATGGGCAGTTGTTGGCTACAATTGGTATTGATGTAGATAACTACACGTTTCCTATAGCTGGGGATGTGGAGAACAAAACAAATTGGGAATGGTTATTAGAACTTTTGATAGCTGATATTGGGATGTATAATGCTAGGACTTGGACCTTATTTCTGATAAACAGAAGGGCTTAGTGGACTCCATAAATTTGTTATGTAAGGGTGCTGAGTATAGGTATTGTGCAAGACATTTATCCAGCAATTTCACCTTAGTGCATAAGGGACCGACTCTAAAGAGCATATTTTTGGGCTGCAACAAGGGTAAACTAGTGCCAGAGTAGAGAAGTGCAATGAATGAGATAAAAGATATGAACGAAACAGAGTTTAAGTGGTTCACTGAGAAACCAGCATCACCGTAGAGTAGATCACATTTCCAAGATTATTTAAAGTGCGACATCCTACTTAATAACTTGTGTGAGACATTCAACTCTTTCATATTAATTGCAAGAGAAAAGTCTATGGAAAGGATGAATGCTAAAATGGAAGCTGCATGAAGATGTGATCATGCTTTTGGTCCTGAAGTTATGAGAATTAAAGAGAAAACAAAGGCAGATGTAAGGTTTTTAAAGGCTAACTATGCTGGAAGTGAAAATTTGATGTGAGAAATAGGGATGGAAAAGAGATGGAGTTTGGACTTGATGAAACATAAATGTGCATGTAGAAAATAGCAACTTACTGGAATACCTTGTGTGCATGTAATGTCTGGTATGCCATTGAGAAATATTGGCATATATGAGTATGTAGATGAATGCTACATCAAAGAAGCTTATCTGAGGTCCTATAGCCCAATCATCCAACCAATGTTAGGTCCTTGAGTTGTGGTTAAAGCTGGGAAAACATTCTTTGAATCCACCTATGAAGAAGAAACAAGCAGGGAGACTACAGGCACCAAAATGACAAGGACTAGAATGATGATGACATGTAAAACATGTGGTGGGACATGCCATAACAAGAGAACATATTCTAAAGCAGATACACAATAGGATACACAACCAACTCAATCACAGGGCAAGGGAAAGAGAGTCCTTTGTCAAATTGAGACATAAGCTTCAACTCCTCAAAAGGTTTAGAACCTAATCTGTAACTCATTTAAAAGGTTTGGGACTTTTCGTGCATTCAAATACAAATATTTGGAACCTATGTCGCGACATAATAAAAGGTTTGTGTATGACTAATTGAAAACGTTTGAGACCAACAATGCACTATCTATGATATGTTTTCGAACATATTTTTCCCTTCGTTTTGAAGCATTTGCTCACAGGGAGAGGGGGAAACTATGAGAAATGATAATTAGGGCAACACTGTTGAATGATGACAAATCTTAATACATAAGGTGTTTAGTTCAACTTCCATCTCTTTTGACAGGTAGAAATCTAGGGATTATCTTCCTCGATTTGTCACACATTGGAGGGTCGAGCTAGTCAAAAAAGTTACATCCATCGATATCCTGACGTCGTGGACAAGTGAGAAATCTTCTTCCTGAATTTAAGTTCGTCCATGAGGTCTTCATCTGCATAGGGTCACCGCATCTACAGACATTACTCTCCATATTCATGCTAAAATAATCTAAGATATATGGAAGAGAGAGAATAATATATAAGACCTGGAAAATAAGGGAAATGAACAATGATTAGTGCAGTGAATAAGGGGAAAAGAGAATTGGAATTGGTCAAAATTTGCCCTAATTTTCCATTAACACTTAATTTAAACATTTTTGTTAGTTTGTATTTGTTGAAAAGATTATGTTGAGTTTATTGGACTATTTATATTTTTAGTATTACTAATTACAAATAATGATAGTTTTAAAATTTGGAAGCCAATCTATTTAAGGGGTTTTATGCAATTGCATAACTTAAAAAAAAATAGTCGACTCTGTTTAATTTTAATCTCAATCAGATTGTACTAAACCTACATGAGGATCAATACAATTCTCCCACCTATTTTTCTTCAATTATTGAAGGTAACCATTGATCGTGCAAAAATACAACTCGATGATGTGTAATAATAAGAATCTTTGAACGTTGAATGCAAGAAAAAGTTCAGTCTGTCCTTTCGTCCTTTGAAGAAACAATTTAAAACAAGAAATGCATTTTATTTAATCATCTTAATATAATATTTGTAAGAAGATGTTTGGCCAAGCTTTAAAAAAACTTACTTATGATTAAATAAGAGTTAGAAATGTATTATTTTTGTTGATCTAAGTTGTAAAACAAATTGCTTTAACTCTTTTTACTTGAGAAAAAAATAATGTATTCAAACAAAAATTAACTTAAAAAAATAAGTTATAAATTTAGTCAAACATCAAGATGAGGTTAGATGGCTAAATATTGTTTAATTGTTGAATGATCGGTCACATTGAAAACGACCATTTTCTTTTATTGAAAACTATTCAATCTCTTATCCATATATCTTAATAAAGTTGATTGCTTCTAATCTGATAATTAATTTCATGAATTCTACGATTTTAGTCAAAAGTTGCGGGAAATAATGGACCACTAATTGTTTTGTTGTTTTTAGGAATCACTAATTGACGTATTAGTAAGTTAATCTTCATCATGACCAGGATTAGCCTATACCATGGAAGGATGGCGTTTTAGGTGGAAAATTGAAAGAAACGCTGTATTTTGTTGAGAGTGGGGAGTTGCAGAGTCGACTGTTTACCATAAAAATAGGTCTCCACAAAGTCTTAAGATCATGCATGAGGGTTGACGTCTATCCAAGGCCGAAAGATCAAGGAAGGTGGTGACTGATGATCGAAGAATTGGCTAACTTGTCGGATAAGTTCCGAATCGCACGAAAGGCTTAACGATTTGGATAGTGTCTTGAAGAAAGGTTCGATGAAATAGATTTGCCCGCGAATATGCAGATTACCTGTGTTGTTTCACTTTCTGTTAATATTTTATCTATTTTGCCTTTCAATAGTGACTCGAATGTCAATTTGTAAACTCTTGAGTGGCAGCGCCCACCTATATGTTTTGATAGGTAAAAGGATATAACGAGTTTTCTCATTTTCTTAAGCTCGGGGGACCAACCTGCTTCTCAGTCAACAGGTCGTGACAAAAAAAAAAAAAAAATCAATTTTCCAGTCTTGGTAGCAATATAGGAAATATTTATCAAGCAAATTTTTAGTAGCACTATGTGTGTTGTGGATATTTATTTTGTAACGATTCAAATTTGTGTTCGAGTCAATAACTCATGCATACTGATAATTTTGAGAGAATTTGATTCTCACACAACTTGTTCAATTGTTACCAAAATTCAACTTAAATCTCTCGAAACGTAGATGTCACGGATCTAGAGAATGCAATAAAAAGTTGTGAAGGGTAAAATGTGTGCGAACTCTCCCAAAACAAACAGTAAATATGTTACGTAGTTAACGGCTTGAATACGTGCTCGATTCTTTACATATTTTCTTCTCACTTTGATAGAAAACTTCATTTTCATCTTGCTATACACATCAAAATCCATCAACCAGGAAAAAAAAAAAAGAGTCGAGCCTGGAAATTAGGAGAATTGTGTGCAAGTGTTAAACTAAATGCAATTTAACTTTTTGCATATTCAACACATAACTATTATACAAAGCATTTTTATAAACTAAAAATGTTTGATTTCACTCACATAGCAAAAACAGCATGCAGAACAACTATAACTTACGATGGGGAGGCTTCCCAAATTTGCCACAGCAACAGGAGACCTTAGGAGATGGCGGTTCAACTGCTAGTGTAACTGTCCTGGATCGATATACATATTCCCTTGGGCTCTGTTCGACCGCAGGTTTTGGATCGTGTTTCTTCTTCACCTCCAAATTTAACTTGTCATCCCATACCAACCCTGAAGAACCTTGTCTTCTAAAGGATATTTCTGACCTTGGCAAACCACTCATCTCTCTCAAAAAATAGATTATATGATCAATAGCTGATCCTGAATGGAAATTTTGGACAGTTTTCCCTTCTCTCTCTCTCCACATATATATATGGATATGGAAACACGACAGATGACAAATAAGAATACTGGAGCGGTGGATATGGAAACACAACAGACAGGGGCAGACCCAGACCTTTTGTACCGTGGGGTCATAAATTAAATGTAATTTTTTTAGACAACATAATAATAAAAATAAGTCAATATACTACTACAATTGTAGTCTACGCGTCTTGATACTTTAAAAACGTCGTATAATTATACCATTATTAATATTGTCAAATAGAATTTGCTACTTGTATAGTTTTGTGTATCACTTTGTTGACAAGTGCTGAGCCAACGGTGAGTAAATTAAGTTAAATGTATGAAGTAAATTAATTGAAATAAAATTCAAATTGGAAAAAATGAAATTCAAATTTGATTCGATAGTAATTTAAATTACATTTAATATATAATGATCCTAATTTTTTTACGTCATACTCCATGTAAAATTTACTAATAAAACGATATAAATTATATTGAGAAATTTGTTGTACAAAGATAATAAACATTAATGAAATAATTAAAATTTTTTAAAGGAAAGAAGAATTAGACATCTTTTTTAGAGATGTATGTTTGACGCACGTTTAACCATTTTCGATATCCATTTAGACCATTCGATATGAATATGATGTAGTTCTTGAAACAATATTCTAAGTGATGTAAGCGGTTTGTGAATCAGGCTAGAGTATAATTGTTGATGAATTTTTAAAGTTACATATAATCGAAATTTTCGAAATACTAGATTGGAATGACTTATTTTGACGAGTCGTAGTTTTGTTGTTGCTGGCCGTTTCACGCACCATCAATAAGTGAAAAGTTAGGCTCTGAACACCTCGAAATTGTATTAATAATGCAATATTTTGACTTCGTTTGACATTTCGTAACCCGCGCGTCGAAATAAGCCGTGAAGTAAACGACTACAAATTTTAAAAAAAAAAAAAAAAAAAAAAAAAAAAAAAAAAAAAAAAGGAACTATGGGATCATTTGACCCCACATAACACCATGTGGGTCTGCCCATGACGACAGATGACAAATAAGAATAATGGAGCGGTTGAGGTTATGACAAGGCATCTGTTTGTATCTAATCTATTGCGTTATTGTGCAGTCATCCCTAACCTATCAACTTAGTACACAAATCATCCTTTTTGACACTTTCAGTCTAATTTTACTATTAATTATGCACCTGCATAATCTTTTTAGTGCAAATGGTCCCTAATTTTATCAATTTCATGCTCTAACCTTTGAATCTTGGAGTTAACCTTTCACTTAATAGGTGCAATTGGTATTTGATCAAAAGGTCAAACTTTTGATATATAAAGACTAAAATCACCATTATTGTAGTTAAATAAATAAACAAACGTAAAATAAAAATCACATTAAATCTCAACAGTAAAAGATATTCAGGTTCATCAATATTCACTCGTAGGTGCTAAATCCAACAACATATTAATTTAATCAAGAAATATTAGAAGAACCTCTTTTAAATGATTTTAATTTGTTGCTAGAATTTATTATAATTTCCATTCTATAAAAGTTCTCACTCATGGTTGCATTTGAAATGCTCTCATTAAGAATTAGTTGGTAGGATCAAATATCAATTGGCTTTACTTTTTGTCTTATAATTTTTAATTATTTTATTTTATTTATTTAACTACAAGATGGGACATTTTAATCTTTACATAAAAAGTTTGACCTTTTTAACTGTCAATTGAATGAAGACCATCAAAAGAACCCATTACGCCTATTAAGTGAAATGTTGAGAACGTTTACGCCAAGATTAGAAGATTATGTACAATTTGCACAAAAGCTTCATAGGTTAGAGGCCATTTGCACCAAATTAAACTGTGTGTCCAAAACAATGATTTGAACCCTAACGTTAGTGATATTTTTCACAATAACCTACCAATTTCCCCTTTGTCTATGTCAAATAACTAATTTGTCCCTCGAGTCATATATAACTAGTGAAGTTGGTCAAGAATTGCCATTGAACAGCTGGAAAAAGCTGGGCTTTCTTACAGAAAGTCAGAAAAAGAACCATCTTTTCTATATACTTTCCTCGGTTCAGTTGCTAACGCGGGCTGTATACAATCGATCAAATTAAATAGATATCCCTTCCCTTCAAGTAAAAGTAGGGAAACCAGATTGTAAACTTTTGTCATAATAGATTCATACAGTGAGTATCAAAATATGATGTTTCCTGCAGAAATTATTACTCCGTGTACTAGTATTATTACTCAGAAACAATGGAGCATGAGTGCCTGTGCAACACATTGATTCATTGAGTTAAAATTTGTATACCATGTTTTCTGTATATCCGAGCTCCTTGAGTAAGCCAGTCAACTGCAAGGGAGAGAAGAGAAAGTGTAATATCATTAAAGACTACTGAAAGGGAAAGAGGAGAGAAAATTTAGAGAATAATATTTTATTTTATTTTATTTTTTAAGATTTATAAAATAAACCTCTCCTTGTGAATAATCTTCAGCCTTGTCACCGGATATATGTTTCATCATTCCAGGAGGACCACAAACCTGGAAAATGAACAGGAATTCCGCAAAAGATGTAGTAATAGAATTGATCCGGCTTCAAGGTTAATGGAAAATCAAACACCATGAAACAATGTAAATGTCTTGGACTGGCTAGTAATATAGGAAAGAGACGGAACATTTTTAATGATTCAGTTAGATAAATTCGAATTACCAACATATGATTTAAGACTCCCAAATCCCAACTTGTGTTTTTTCCTTTCTACCTGTGTAGTTTAAGTCAATTATTTAGCCACAAACCTCACCAGTAGAAACCAAGACTGCTGGAAAGATTCGAGTTTCCATGTTTTTAATTTTTTGAAACGACAATGTGCTCATGTAATCAACATTTAGGGTCTGTTTGATTGCGAAGATGGAGTTTGGGTGGAAAGAAAATGAATTCCAGGGAATTGACTTACCTAGAAATTATTTTCTTGGAAATTGTAAATTATTGTATTTGCTTGGTATAATTTTCTACGTGGAAAATGTTGAAGTAAAAGTGTTTTTTGGTATTCGTTTGGTTTTGTTTTACATGAAAATTGTCAATTTAAGGGATATCCACTTTTACCATTGTTCCTAGAATTTGTTTCCATTGCCAACCAAAAAAAAAAAAAGGGAAAAAAAAAAGATCAAAAAATCATCTATATTTTAGTGTTCGTTTGGCTTTGTTTTATATGAAAATTGTCAATTTCAGGGATATCCTCTTTTACAATTGTTCCCATTGCCAACAATTAAAAAATAAATAAATAATAAATAATAAAAAACCACATACCCCCTAGGAAAATAAAATGTGAAAATCACGCTTTAAGTGTTGTACCTAAAAATTCATGGAAAATCAATTCCCTGGAAATTTTTGTCAATCAAATAGGCCAAAAGTGAAAGTTGGAATTCGAATTCCAAGTTCCATGGAAAATTTCGTGCAATCAAACGGGGCCTTGTATAATCTAGAAAAGATAAATAACACACAGCAATGATTCAAATAGAATGTCTCAGAACCCAGAAAGCTTCACTAATTATAAGAATATAATCAATGATAACAATAAGTAGAGGTGGAACCAATCGGGGATAAATTTAAGGAAATGATGATTTTGGTGGTAGTAGTATGCATGCCTAAAAATGTTCTCATACAGGAGCAGTGCAATCTAGTAGAATAAGTGAAAAGAGAAAGAAAGCATACCAAAATTAAAATGGTTTCAAGTCATGATGTGGTTATAGAAGATTTGATTACTCGACATTTTCATAGATGAAGTGACTGGTTGAACACAGTAGCAAACCAATCACACAAGTAACCCCAAATCTATAGGGATTAGGGTTTCGTTTTTGGTTTTTATTTTTATAGCATCATATTACCATTGCAGTTTTTTTGTCACAATTATATATTTAGCCCCCGTTTGGCCCCATTAAATTAATTTTTATTTTTCATTCTCGCATTTTCAATCACACAATCTACCGTAAAATAATATTACATGTAAACCGATAACATTTTCTACTTTTTCAAGCATCCATTCTCCAAAAAAATACTATTCCACACATTAAAATTTGAAATAATGGAGGGCCATACGGGGGCTAAAACAATCATTTTGCAGTTTACCTAGATGGCAGATCTAATTTGATTCCGATATGTTGATAACTCTTTTCGAGAAGATGAGAATCGTATACACAGCAGAGAGAACTTACAAGAATAAGTGTATCGTCACCAGGGCCAGGCAATCCTTTCTTAACCATGTCATTTGATATGTAACCCGTGCCTCCTTGCCAATCTTTTGTTGGATTATCAACAGTGTAGAATACCTCTCACACACAAAGGATATTTCAATACAAAAGATAAAGAAAAAAAATTCAAAACATACAGTAATGCTTATGTTATTATTCTGGAAGCACCTTCAAGTTCGGGTGCTTAGCGGCAAGTACATCTAGCCTCTTTTTGAGAAGTATGTCATCAGGAGATACATTAGCATAGAGCAATGTAACCTACAGGGTATTAATCACCAATAAAATGTTAGGAAAGCATGCTTATAATATTGAAACACAGCCCACATTGTGACGTTAAATACTCTCAAGTTTTCAATGTGAAAAAAGAAGATTAAATTATTAGTCTTACCTGGGTATTATCATCAGGGTTTTTAAGGATAGCATTTATTATCTGAAGCATCGGAGTGATGCCAGTGCCTCCTGCAATCTGTATATAAAATTTTAATTGTAAATTCGAAAAACTTACGAAAACTGCATAGTTCATTATACCAATCTGAAAGCATTATGATTGTATTCACCAATTACCACAATATCTATGGAGATACTTGCAGATTTGTTTATTCTTTTTTTTCCCCCAAAAAGAAAATCAGGACAAAGGATGTACCATCTACGATAAATTACATAATAGAATGTGACATATCATTTATATAAACATAGATAGAGTAAAACCTCTCTGTAGTTGATACTCTACATAAAATAACCTCCACATTTCATAAAAAATTTTGGTCCCAACTTGGGCCAGTCATAAATAAGAACAAAGTCCATATGGTAATAAGTTATAATTTTTCTAGGTTCTATCTTAAGGAACTTGCCACCACATGGTAATAATTATTAGTATATCGCAAAAAATTTAAGCTAGGTTATATTAAAGGTTTAAGATGTAATAACATATTTATCTAAAGTTGTTTGAGACAAAATACATGCTATGTTACATTAAAGGTTTAAGATGACTTGGTCTATTTCCGACACTATATCAATGTAGTTCATACTTTACCCCATACCACTTGCACTAAGGATAACTAAGTCAAAACAATAATTTTTGTAACTACACTTCTATTAAGTTATATAACACCCTCATAGTAATAAAATTAATATGGTCCCAACATCATGAACCCCCACCTTCAACTAAAACGCAATCATAACTACTACTTTTGATTTTAAATTCAGACATTAATTGTAATTGATTCCTAAATTCTCACAAACTTCTGTGATAGGCAGCATCCCATGTGTTTTGCACATACACATACGATGAGTTTTTTGCAAAGGCTATCAACTTCTGAAACAGCTTGTTCCAGTATTTACATTTTCAGAGCAAGTTTCTGAAATTACATGGTAATGATCCAAATTTGATTTGTTTCTTTCTTTTATTATTTGTATCTTGATTCCCAAGTATACCATGTTCTGCAGTAAATTTTAAAAATCGTGATCTTACCATGCCAATATGTTTCTTCATATTGGGCCAGTATCTGAGCTTTTCAATAGGCCTGCAAGACAACAAGAAGAGGAACCACGCATTCGTATGATTATAACTAAAATGGTTCTTGCCTGATAGTCAATCTTATACAACTTACCCTTTCACTTCTACGACATCTCCTGGTTTTAAGCTGGCAAAATGCTGACTCATTTTACCTTCTGGATACACCTGTGAAGTTTTCATGCATATAATTAAACAAAGATTACCAAAGATAAAAGCAAAATAGACAGCGAACCCATACCTTAATTAATAAATCAAAGTATCCCTTAGCATCTGGATCCGATATAGGTGTATAACTGAAAAGAACAAACCCCTAAATATTATTGATTGGCATATTAATAAATCATCACTCAAAACCTAGCATTCGATAGAACTTTAATTCAACGGGTATACATGGTTTAATTTTCAATTTCGGAATTGTCTGCGTACAGATTAAAATTTTCAGTTCATGATTTTAAAATTTTACAACCATTTTTCCAAATTTACTTGTCTTGGTTTATGGCATTCTCCATATCTCCGGATGTGATCAAGTATTTAAAAAGGGGTTGAAATTTGTGGTCATTCCAGAAAGGAAATGAAGACAGTTGAATGTGAGAATAATTAACAATGACAAACAGAAATATCAAGACCGATTATAAAGAATAGTATAGCATAAACAATTTTTTTCCCTTGCCACTTTTTTCCCTTCCCACTTGTACATCCAAAAATTGTATCAAGAACAAGTGAAGACAGACTATTAACGTCAGGGGGAGCATTTGCAAGGAGAAATTTATTATCATGAAATTGAACACACGTTAGCACACATAAATCGAGTGCTAGTTACAAATACATATGTAAAAGAAAAAAAAAGTATAGCATGGGAAAGTATGATTATGCAAACTTACGGACGAATAACATATTTGGGTTTTCCTTCAGGATTTCGTCCTGCTGGTGCCCTTCAAGAAAAACGAGTATTTAGGAGTCAGTTATAGCAGACAGCCAAATAGTTTCTGTCGCCAATAAAATGCTTTAGCAAAGTAAGTTTACGGAAAAAAAAATTTTAAAACTATGCAGGATTCTTTGACAATACTCTAGAGCTCAAATCCTCCTGAGTTGCACCTATTTACAGTATTATAAATTAGCTTTTTCCTGAATTTTTTCAATTAAATTCAGGCATTTTTGCAATTTCACTGTATATTCATATGATATCTGGAAGATACTTATTTTGCATAGGCTCAAGTTTGTTATTCTTTACAATATATGGAAGATACTTCCTTTACATAGGCGTTTTATTTCTTGGGCTTTAAAGTCATTAGTGTTAGTTTGGTATTTGAAAATAATTTAACTAGTTTCCAAAGAATGCTTCTAAGTTTTGGAGTCGATATAAAGCAATTGCAATTATTATTTGATTAGAGAGTCCAGTACAAGAACAGCACATTATGTGGTATGATTTTTTCGAAAACCCTGGTGTTGAAATCACTCGTCTCTCTGCTTGTTATTCTTTTTCTTCTAATTTTTCTGCACCAATATTCAGACCTGTTTCCTCCTTGTTTTACCAGGATATTTTGGCCCTATGTTTTCCCTACATCAATTTGGCTCCATTTGCAGGAACCGATCATGCCTACAAGTGCTGGGTCAACCTTATGTTCTCTGTTGTCCTTTCAACTCCATCATTGCCAAAATAGAGTACTCCCAAAGAAGGATTTTAAGAAAATAATTAGAGTTTCATGAATTAGTTACCATAATGGATAGATGTCTTCATAAATTGGTAATTTTTTGCTAGACAACTGAATTATTGTGCATGAAAACACTCTCGTGACCGGATAGAATGAGAACATTAAAATTCTTCTTCTAATTTAGACTTGATGCTTTCTATTACTGGAACTTCACAAGCACAGATTTATTTTCTTCAATCACATCTTTCTCTTAGACTGAAACAAATAAAATACATAGAAAAAGAATGGAAGCACACCATCCATGTAATGGATAAATGCCTCTTTTTTCTCCTGAAGTTGTCCATCTTAGAAGTCAATTACCTAAGCAAAACTTTATTCCAGGTGAAAGGCCCTCACTTGAAATTAGTAGGAAGTCAAACTTGCAGGTCAACAGAAAGCAAAGAAAGGTCTAATAGAGCCTTAAGGCCATTGACTAATTGATTCGTACATCTGATGGGTTTGATATGTTGATGAAGACCTTAGTCACTAGCTTTGCTGGCTTTTACGGGTTCAAAGAATGCAACACCATTGTTGAGATTTATTCAGTTGTCATACTTAAAAAAACTCATAACCTTGTCGAGGCTTGTAGAACATAATCACACTTAAAATTCTTTAGTGTAGCCGAATGTACCTCGTAATAATGCAGGATGCAATATCAAGACCTAACTTCGCGGTGGGATCAAATGAAAACCTGGAATATTAGAGTAAAAGAATTATTATATATACTTACATTATGATAGAGCAAAGATAACTGATAAATCTCTTTTGTATCAACATCTGTAAAAATATTGCAATTTATTAAGTATTAAAGCAGATCCCATACCAAGATTTTACAAATTTTAGTTAATAAATTCAACAGAGTATGGTAAGAATCCCAGATACAGCGTGTTTTAATAGATCACACTAAGTTCTAGGTATGACGCAACTGAAAGGATGCATAATAAACACAATTGACAAGAGAAACCAGAAGAAATTTTTTCCTTGCAGACACTGGAATGGTCCAAGAGAAAAAAGAGGGTAAATGAAAATCCATTAATTACGTTCACAGTTTAGCCAATCAAGAAGGAGATGTGCTACGTTAATAACGAATAATAAATGCATATAGACCTTAAAGTTTGAAGCATCCCCTTTCTACAAGTTACAAATTAAGGAATCTTCTTTGCCCAAAAAGCCACTACATCCCCTACTAATTACCATGTCTCAGAATGTTTCTGCTATGAACGAGATTGCTTAAAATTATACATTTAATGTCATGACCCCTCAAATTATTCACATTCCAAACCAGAAATTACACCTGCCTCCTCTCTAGAAAGTTTACTCTCATCCAGCATAAACACAGCTCCAGACTTCCTTGTTCACATAGTTAAGATACAACTCATGTAACTTATGGCATATTCCTAGCACAATGACATGTGCCGCCTTGAACTGTCTACTATCATGCATTTTAAAGAACCATAAGGTATTTGATAAATAGAAGGCATAATAAGCTAACCTGAATAACTGAGAATTGTGGCTGACCTGTGCCTTGTCTTGCAATTTGAATTCAATCCATTTATCAGGATTTAGTGCTGAAAATAAAGAACAATAGCATCGTCATATTGATGAGGACATCCAATTTTAATTAATTTTAGCAATTTTAATTATTTTAGTTGGAATTTAGGTTATTTTAATTTTATGGACTTGTGTATTGGGCTTAGCCCTAGGTCTGCATTATTTTCAGTATTTAAACCTATCTTACATTGTTATTTGAGTTGATGAATTTGATTAATTAAGGATTTGGCTTGCAGCCGTCTTTTCCCTCCTCCGTATTCTCCTCTCTTCTCCGGCTCCTCCCTCCCCCCCTTCTTCTTTCTCTGTTATTGATACTACATCAAATTGGTATCAGAGCAAACCCTGGACAGCAATTCACGCACCATCAATACAAAACCCGTTGCTGCAGACGCTACAAAACTTGCTACAACCAACCAGTTTTGTTTCAGCTTCAACTACATACAAACTTACAGAATCCAGTTTCACGCCTCCACCGCTTCTGCATATGTCCCCGTCCACTGCACTTCACAAAAATCAACGGCAACTGTAAATCCCCAGCAACGACCATTGAACTCCTCACACCATATTCCCTACCACAACCGCCGCTGAAATTCTCCAAACCAACTTTACAGACAGCAACCAAAAACGTTTAATTCCAGAAAAATTCATTAACCTTGCGACGCGACACCCACACCCGCAGTCAACCAACACATCGCCTTCATCCAAAACCAGGACACGGAATCATCTCCCCACTGAAAGCTGCCCGCGAACTGCCCGGTCTTACAGAAATGGCACCCCAGTCTCGCCGCCGCCAACAGTCGCCAGCAAACTGCCGGCTGTACCAGTAATCGCCGGCCAAGCCCAACGCCGTTGAGATGTTCCTCGTCGGCCAGTCCAGTTGCCGACTTCTGCAGCCTTCAGTCGCCGACGTGTTGTAATGAATTTTGGGCGTAATTGGTTATTAGTTAATAGGGTTGGTTAGTAGTATCAAGTGGGTTTGGGTCTTAATTTCAATCGGGCTTGTTTATGTTTATCACTTGGGTTTGGGCCTAATTGGTTTATTAGTTATCAATTAGGTTGGGCTTAATTTCAATTGGGATTGGGCTTGATTGATATTTTGATTGTAATTTAGGTCCAAATTTGTGAAATGGGTTCATTTATTATTTTGTTATTCTGATTTTGTATTATTATTTAAAAAAAAAAAAAAAAGAAAAAAAAAAAAAAAATTTTTTTTTTTTTTTTCTTTTTTTTTTTTTTTTTTTTTATTTTTTTTTAAAAAAAAAAAAAAAAAAAAAGAAAAAAAAAAAAATTATCGTGAATTTTAATTTTTCTGACATCATTTACAGGTTCATTTTAGTTGACTGTTCAGTACCGCACCTCGACGAGCACGGAATTTTCTATCTTGGCATCTCAGGGCTTAGTAGTTCAGAGCGTGGAGCCATTCGACGCTGGGACGACTCAAACCAACAGTACTCAGGGAGCTCCTGATCCTATTTATTTTTAGTTGACGCTATTTCTTTATTTTAGAATTGCATCAATTAATTCGTTGTGTGCTGGCCATTTGATAATATTGCCTTAAACCTATTTGATTATATTTCACGAACTAAATTCCATTACTCAATCGTTCACCCCACGTGACTAGACCTAGTATTTGGACATTTGCTTTTCTATTCTATTAGCATTAGTAGTATTAGCTTGCGATCGAGCCATAAGTAACCCCAACCTTTAAATTGACAAATTAAATAAATAAATAAATAAATAATAATAATAATAAGTTCAATAACTAATTCTTCGATTGACACTAGTTGATTGTTGATTATTGATCTCGGTAGTGCACTTTCCGTAGTCGTGTTATCGTGTATGCATTTGCGTAGTGGTCGCGTTACTGCATCTAGCTCTAGTAACCTTACCATGGACCCCGCCCAAATTGAGGCCCTCACCAGACAGCTTGCACAATTACAAAATCAACTGACAGCTGTCCAAACTGAGGTAGCCGCTACTCGTGAAGAGAATAGAGCCCTAACCGCTAGGTTGAATACTCTTGACCCAATCCCATATTCGACCGAGGCTGAGAACTCTGAGGCTTCCATTAATAGGCCTCATCGTCGTCCACAAGGTGGTCGACACCACGCCCGACATGGTCGTAGGGAAGGGAATCAGGCTCGGGAACGAGAGCGGGGATATTACCGTCATGGTACACAATCTCCCCTCTCTTTGGTATCAGAGCGGCGTTATGGTTCGCATTAGGCCAGAGCGGCGTCTTGGATCGCTTCTTTGCATGGTATGGGGTCCCGGAAGACCGGAGGGTACAATTTGCCAGTTTGAAGTTAACTGGCACTGCTCAGCTCTTTTGGGAGAGTGTTGAGGACCTCCTTGAAAGGCGTCATGCTCCCCCTGTTGGGAGCTGGGATGAAATGAAGCGTCGTCTTCAAGAAAAATATTTACCCCATTCTTATAGGGGTAACTTGCTGGATCAATGGAACGCACTTACACAAGGCAATCGACCTGTGACCGAATATGTTGCTCAGTTTGATGAGCTTCGAATGAAGTGTCAGGTTGTTGAGGATGAAGTTATGACTTTGAGTAGGTTTAGGCAAGGCTTAAGAGACGAACTTAGGCGCGAGCTTGTCCTTAGGGGTGTCACCACTCTCGACCACGCCTACTCTTTCGTTCGGGATTATGAATTAGTGACTAGGACACCGTATAGAAATCGTAGTGAC